CTATTTTAAAAAATATATAATATCAAAGAACAAATCTAAAATGCATGCAACTGTCATGTTTGTAGTTATTATTAAAAAAAAGTATTAAAATACCCTAAAAAAAATGTTGCCACTATAAAAATATGGACCAATCAGAACCACTCTACTCACAACTCTAATAGCCCCAATAGGTGTAGAAATCATGCGACCGGCTCACCGCGAACGTCATCAATTCCACACTAGTTGTAGCCGTATAAAAAAAGTCTAAAACATTTACAATTAAGATTGTTTTGATTGTATATATCTACAACCTTATACTATATAATAGTACCCATTGCGCACAGCATAATTACTAAAATCAACAGGTGATTCTCAATCGACTAAGAATCGGCCGCACAAGATTCGCCCTTCTTTTATTTGATCATAATTCAAGTTTTCTTCCAATGATTTCCCAATAAAAACTATGTTTATGCCGATTAGAGACAGTAACGCCTATCACCCAATTTTTAACATATGTCATAGTAGATTTTTAGATAGGGGGGCCCATCACAAGGATACTGCCGTGTACTGCATCCGAATATACGTTTTAACTTAAAAATACACGATTAAACGTTATATTACTTATTTTTTGATGCTTCGATTTGTATCTGATGGTTCTACTAAGTACATATGTAACTGTTTTTTATTAATTGCAAATAACTCAATAMCCTGAGTTATGGGCATTTATTTTAGGCTATTCGTCAGTTGGATAAATAATTTTTAAATAATAATAATGTTATTTATTTAATTAATATGTTATTATTTATTTGTATTCATAAGTTCGTAACCACGGGGGAAATTAAAGAATTATATGACTAGTTTATAAGTATTTTAATATTTTTAATTCGTATTTGTGTTGATAGTGTTGAACATTGCGTTATATTTGTTAACGCTAGTAACTTGATGGCACAGATATATATAATAAACTAGATTGCTAACTGGCCTATACAGCCTGTGTATTTAATTGAAGCCAACAATCCGCCATTTTAATCGAGGCTGGAACACCATATCACTTAT